TCTGAAAATGAAAATGTTTTAATAGTAAATATTGTTTTAACATAAAAAAACACTTTATTGCTAATAATGCAAATAAATGCCTTGATTAACACTGGATAAATGGATAATAACGCAAACAGATTCAACGTGTTTATCCAATAAACAAATAAAAAAATAAAAGCACTGTGCTGTGTGGAATACAACAGAACTGAGCCATTACTGAGGAAACACAGCTGCTGAAGTAAACAGACATTAAATTAAGCGTGTGAATCTGCCTTTGTAAGCATGTGTACAGCTGACCCTGCAGGAGGGGTAAACAGCGACACTTCTGCTCCGGCCACTTTTGGCACAGACAGCACGGGTGCGGCGGTCATACCTCCAGTGCTCATGTAGGACAGGCTGTGTGTGTTGTTGGTTAATAAATACGGTTTGTTTAACCCCATTACTTTCGTCATATTTGGCCAAAACCCAACAGTGTTGCTGTGAGCCCCGCTCTGCCCTGCTCTCCTCTACAGTATTCATTACTCCTGCAGGTATCCGAGTGTTCTTCATGCGGTGGCAAAGGTGAGTTCAGCCTCTGCCAGACTCCACTGCGCCCCCACTCGGTGTTTTCTGGTAGCACATGCGGAGTTTCTCTCAGAGTTTGTCCGGTCATGCTGTCTGATATATTATTACTGTGACCCTTAACAAACACTTCCTCCAGCTCCTCTGCTTTTCCTCATAAGTCAGTATGTGTTTACCTGCTTTTAATAAAACTGGAACTTACCTGAGCTGATCTCAGGACAGGTGTATGACTCTTCTTCTTAATGGCGGTGAGCATACAGCCTAAAGGTGCATTATCGCATTTAAGCTTTATTTAGGAGAACATCTTTACATTCCCACATGATTAAATACACTAATCAAGATAACACAGTTCTCATCTGAGCTCCTCTGTAAAATCATGATCTAATCATCTTAATGTAAATTAATCATCTCCTCATTACTCTGACTGAAGCTCTTCAGCCTGTGATGGAGGAGTGTTCACACACACACGCACACACACACACACACGCACACACACACACTCATCTGTGTGGAGGATAATACAGCTGATAATATAACAGTAATGCAGTACAGCAGTGTATCTGTCGCTTTAGTAAACACTGATATTAAACAGAGTTGTGCTTCAGCTCGAGTCACCTGCTGAATCCTGCTCAGGTGTGTTCCCGATCACAGACACACACATGAGTGATCATCATCAGCTCTGAGCAGCCTTTCGTCGAGAGTGACGCACACTGACGTAATTACGTACGAACGTGCAGCGTCAGCCGTCAAGCAACTTCCTTCTTCCGGTTGTCGTTCGAGGTAAGCTGCATTGATCACTGATCACCGTTATCGTGTGTAAAGTTTGTGTTTCGGCCTGCAGATGAGCAATATCTGATCAGGTTTGCGCGCACACACGTCTTAGAAGACCAGGGCTCTAGCTCGTGCCCGCAGCGCGCGTAACCGACCGGATACTGACATCCGGGTTCGTGAGCGAGCAGATTACTGTTATCGTTCTGTGTGTGTGTGTGTGTGTGTGTGTGTGTGTGTGTGTGTGTGTGTGTGTGTGTGTTTCTCTCGCTCTGTCTGTGTGTGTGTCTCTCTGTTTCTGTTTGTGTGTTTCTGTGTGTGTGTGTGTGTGATTGTTTATTTCTCACAGTGTGTGTGTGTGTGTGTGTTTCTGTCTCTCCCCCAGTAGCTCCTCCTCTTCATCATGGCTGGCTCCTCATCTTCGTGGCTCCTCCCACTATTTGTTCAGGTGGTGATGATGAAGGTGGGCTTAAGCTCCGCCTCTGAGCTGACCTTCGAGCTGCCGGACAACGCCAAGCAGTGTTTCTATGAGGACATCACCATCGGCACCAAGTGCACACTCGAGTTCCAGGTGCAGCACACACACACACACACACACACACACACTCTCTCTGCTTTATGGGGTTGGTGTGGTTGTTTGGGCCGGTGTGAGTGTACTGATCTCGTTCGAGTGCTCAGTGGAAGTTGTAGCCCGGTGTGCTGTGCATTATGGGATGTGGTGTTTACACAGAGAGGGGGAACACCAGCTGAGGGGGGTGGTGATATGTGGGAAGATGAGCATGCTGCAGTTCAGCTAGAATAATTCACATCTCCTCCTGAAGAGACGTGTGATGCGCCTCCGCCGTCTGTAATGCAGTACAGCACTGTGTTCCAGCCGCGGCCGCGCTTCATCCTCCAGTCGTGGCTAGTCTAGAGAGATGTAAACACACTATATAGTGTACGGTGGTCGTCTCTTTAGAGTCTGAAGCACATTCTGTGTCTGCCGGTTTGTTTGCATGTGAATTCTGACCAATCGGTAAGCAGTTTAGGAAATGCGTTCAGTAACATCTGGCCAATGAGTGATGTGGATTTTGTCACATGACTGCACCAAAGCAGTCAGTGCGGTGTGAGTGTGCTTTAGGACGGCTGATCAGCAGTGTAGACTCATTCAGCCCTACTCTAGCTGGCTCCTGATTGGTTAACGCGGCGCGAGTGTCTGCTGAAGTTCAGATTTGCCATCGCGAGTGTTTCGCCTGTTCAGCACATCAACTGCACAAAACACTGGCGCAGCCGGCTGCAGGAGGCCTGAGCGCAGCCTAACAAGTACAAAACTGATGCTGTGAACACACACACACACACACACACGCACGCACGCACGCACACACACACACACACACACACACACACACACACTGAGCTGCTGATGCTGTTAACATGCATGTGCTCCCTCAGCAGCCACACTTCCACTGTGGGGCCAGTGTGAGCAGGGCTTCTATCAGGACGATAGCCTGGGAGCAACAGCAGTGAGGCTGAAATCATGTGGCGTTTCCACTGTCAGGCAAACCCCACAAGAACATCCCCAAATCAACCGTCACACACCCCGCCCACTCAATCAGCAGATGAAGCACAGCATCACATCATCACCACACTATTAAACTGAAGACAACTGACACACACAGATGAGCCGCACAGTATATGTCTATACGCACAGGCCTGAGTGCTTCATTCAGTATATTCCTTTACTCGCTGACCCACTGTTGGCATCATGTGCTCTCGCCACTAGCGGAGGGACCCAGCACACCATCCATAATATAACACCACACAAATGCTCCGCTAATAACTCGCTATAAAGTGTAAAAGAAAGAAACCCAACTGCTCATGACATTAACCGAGCTGTGAAGCGAGCGCTCTTTGGCCCGGGGTCTGTTCTTCATACCTCGCTTAAATGATCTAAGATGATTTGGCAGATCCTGGATCTGTTCATCTTGATCACTCACTAATTTGATTCTTCAAACATGTTCACAAATCAGATTAAAGTGTCTGGAAGAGCTGGTCTGAGATCTGTGTGTGTTGTGAAGGACAGATCTGTCCATCCTCCAAACCATGATCAGCAGTGCAGCGATTGGCTGACAGCACAGCAGCATGATGACATCATCTGATTAATATTCAATTATCCATTCATTCATTTTCTTGTCAGCTTAGTCCCTTTATTAATCCAGGGAATGAACCACCAACTTATCCAGCAAGTTTTTACACAGCGGATGCCCTTCCAGCTGCAACCCATCTCTGGGAAACATCCACACACACATTCACACACACACACACTACAGACAATTTAGCCTACCCAATTCACCTGTACCGCATGCGTTTGGACTGTGGGGGAAACCGGAGCACCCAGAGGAAACCCACGCGAACGCAGGGAGAACATGCAAACTCCACACAGAAACACCAACTGAGCCATGGCTCGAACCAGCGACCTTCTTGCTGTGAGGCAACAGCAATACCTACTGCGCCACTGCCTCGCCCTCAATTATCCATGTGAGCTAATTTACATCAGATTAGCAGTAAACGGTTTGTTAAATACGACACGCAGTAACTCTCCACATGTGTTGAGCTGCAGGCGTTACTCTCATCATGTATTTCAGTGTGTTCAGTTCTACATTTAGAGAAGATCTTCTGTATTATTGTAGTCTCGGCCTACTCAGGTTTTGGGGATAACTGTTTAAATTAATTGTTTAATGAACCTGCTCCTACGCAGGCTTGAGCCACCAGAACCGTTACTATGACAACAACTCTCAGATGAGTTTTGAAGAACGAAACGATCCTGGATCATGTCAGATCATCAATAACCAAATCCAGCTCACTGAGGCTCCGTTTACACTAGTGCGTTTTAGTTTGAAAACGGCGTTTTAGATCAAAAACGATCCGCGTCCACACTAGCGCTTCACCTGGCGTCTCTGAACATATATCCGTCAACACTACGCCACCAAAAACGTACGTCACGTGACCATTCGCGCACTCTGGGAACGCGCGTTCGAGTATAAACAGGAAGCATGCGTCTCGCTCGCCATTTGGTTATTGTTAGTCAACAAATGTCGGTTGAACTATGAAGGCGATGGCCAAGAAAGCAAGAGAGGTATATTTGTGGACAGACGACATCATGTGATAGGGGCTTGACCAATAAGGGGAGGATACGCAATGACACAAAAGCCCCAATCAGGTAGCGAATCTCAGCAGCTCCGCCTCCGTTTCCAGATGTCTCCGTTTTCCCTCATCCACACTGAGACGCAGCAGCAGCGCTCCAGAATGAAAACCGCAACCGCAATAATCAAACTCATGGGAACAACTGTGGTCGGAACCAAAGTTCACAGGTCTGTGTTCTCTGAACTCCTCTCAAGCGGTGGACTTCTTCATTCTGATTGGTTGCTGCTGAACCGTGTCATAGCTCATACTATAAATTTGACTTCATTTTAACTCTCCTCGACACCCACACAGGAGAAGACGCGCCGCGCTGTTCCTCGCCGCCGGTTCTCGTTAAAAATGAATGACTTCTGGCTACTTTGACGCTCTCGCCGCTTTCGGTTTGTGATCGCTCCTCAGTTTGTGAAGGCTTCCCCGCGTTGTTGCTCCAACACGCCTGCCTTCCCCGCTCCTCAATTTGTGACGCTGCTGTGTGTTTAATGTGGTGTAGAGATTTTTCTGTTATTGCATTATTGAGGAGGAACATCACTTATTACATGAAACTGCTGGATTATTCCTGCAACAGCCGGTCATTTATAAGGGAAACAGGAGCGCGATCATGAGCAGAAGAGCCCAGCCGGTACAGTGCTGATGGAGAATCCTAAACTGAGCAGCTGGAGGTTTACTTTCCCTCATTGACTGATTTGTTTGCAGCATGTACTCGTGTATGTGTGTGTGTGTGTGTGTGTGTGTGTGTGTGTGTGTGTGTGTGTGTGTGTGTGTGTGTGTGATCAGAAAACTAGTGTAATGGCAGCACGTCATCTTTACCAGACTCGGGCAAACTCCTCCTCTCCTTTCACTCCGCCCGAAGCCCCAGCTGGCCCTCTTTGGCCCAAGGTATTTGGCGGGTCGAAAAGGCTGGCCACTGACCCTGAGGAAACCCGCTTTGGCCCGATCAGGCCCCTGAAGTGACAGCGCAAACACGTCTGGCCCTGACCCACTCACTCCAGGCACAATGGTGGAAACACTGCTAGTGTGTGTGTGTGTGTGTGTGTGTGTGGTGTTGCCATGGCTCACTCTGTGTGTGTGTGTTTGTTTGTGTGTGTGTGTGTGTGTGTGTGTGTGTGTGTGTGTGTGTGTGTGTGTACGCTCTCACAGGTGGTCACCGGGGGCCACTATGACGTGGACTGCCGGCTGGAGGACCCCGAGGGGACGGTGCTCTACAAGGAGATGAAGAAGCAGTACGACAGCTTCACCTTCAGTGCCGCTCGCAACGGAACCTACAAGTTCTGCTTCAGCAACGAGTTCTCCACCTTCACACACAAGACCGTCTACTTCGACTTCCAGGTGGGAGACGACCCGCCGCTCTTCCCCAACGAGAACCGGGTCACGGCACTGACACAGGTGAGGTGGAGATGCACACACACACACACACACACACACACGCTGCTGGACCACACTCCTCTTCACTACATCACACACCTGAGAACACTTCAGAATTTATGAATTTAGATTGTGTGTGTGTGTGTGTGTGTGTGTGTGTGTGTTATCGTGTCTCACTCTGCTGTTGTTCCAGATGGAGTCAGCGTGTGTGTCGATCCATGAGGCGCTGAAGTCGGTGATGGACTATCAGACACACTTCCGGCTGCGCGAGGCTCAGGGCCGCAGCCGCGCTGAAGACCTGAACAGCAGAGTGGCCTTCTGGTCGGTCGGGGAGGCGCTGATCCTGCTGGTGGTGAGCGTCAGTCAGGTGCTGCTGCTGCGCTCCTTCTTCTCCGACCGCAAGACCACCACCACCCGCATGGGCTCCTGAAGAACCCTGGAGGAATGCTGCAGCTGCACACGCACCCTGCAGACCAAACATCACCCTAATTTATTCTGTGTGTGTGTGTGTGTGTGTGTGAATTATCGGATGCGCAGACGCTTCATCATAAACAGTAGTTCAGTTTCCACAGAGCAACACACACACACACACACTCTCACACTCACACACACACGCACACACTCACACACACTCATTTATTTGCTGTATGATGTCAGAAATAATCCGTTGTGTTGTTCTGATGTGATCGGTGTGTTTTATATTAGTTGTGCTTCTGTTTTGTTTTTAATAGTGGTGTGTGTTGTTTATTTTCTTGTTGATTTGGGTTAATAAATGTGGAGGAAGATCTCACGGCTCTTCACTGACTCCTCAGAGGATCTCACACATTCAGACAACCATTCCCTTGTGTGTGTGTGTGTGTGTGTGTGTGTGTGTGTGTGTGTGTGTGTGTGTGTGTGTGTGTGTGTGTGTGTGTGTGTGTGTGTGTGTGTGTGTGAGAGAGAATGTAAAAATAAAACTGGTTGGATCTGTTCGTCTTGACTGCAGTAATTGAGTGTCGTGCTGTTCCTGGATCAGTGCTGTTCCTCTGCGCTCCTCTAGCGGGCGCTGTCCGCCTGAGAGCTGTGTTTGACGGCTGGTTTGTCTCAGCGCTTCTGTCCGCCGACGCTCGTCATTAGTGACTGAAACACGACTGTTTTCTCTCGCACCGGAGGCGCGTCGTCCGTCCGCGGTGTTCTGGCGCGCGCGTCGTGACTGCTGCGTTACCTTTAAATGGAAAGGCTTTATGCGCGGCGCTGATTGGCCCGTCGAGCTGTCAATCACTCGCGGGAGGCGGAACCCTCGGGCCGCTGCTGCTTCAGACGCGCGTCCAGGCGAAACGGAGCCTCGAACTGACGGCAGAAATGGACAGAAATAAAGCAAAAAGCCGAAATCCGGAGCTTCAGAGCGGGTTAGTGTCGCGCTGAGGGGCGTTAAACGCAGAGGATCGCGCTCCAGCGCACAGGAAGCGGAGGAGGAAGCGCCGCAGCGACGCGCTATTTTTATCTTTTTGTGGTTTTGGACTCGACATGAGCTAAAGTTCCGTCAGCTCACCGACTGACACCCGACCACACCGAGCAGCCGGTCAGCACGGAGAAACGGGCCGTTACCGGACACCGAGGCCGGGGGAGCGAGCGCAGCGGTGAGGCCTATAAACACATTAAACACCGATGTTGATTACAGGAGGAAGCCGAGCTTTACACACCGATTATTCCGTCAGAGAGCGAGCTTTACCCGCCGTAGTCCCCCGCACCGGACGGTAACCGTGTGTCTAAACCGAGCACTGGTCGTGTTTTTACAGTTCTCTAATAAATAAACACGGGATGCTGTCTGCCGAGGATTGACACACACTTCTGATTTATTCGCTCACTAACACTGATATAATATTACAGAGACTCTGCCTGAACTGAACTCAGATCAGTGCTGATCTACTTCCCGACATGATCATAACACTCATCCCTGTGCGGGTATTCCCGATATGAGCAGAGCCAGTCAGTGCTGCTGCTGTTTGACTACAGTATACTGGAGCTCTGCCGTCTGTATTGCTGTAAAGCCAAACTCCTGTTCAGCAAATGAAGACTTTAACTCGTGTTTAGCGTCCACATGACCTCAGACTGTCGCGTTTAGTATGCTGTTGACATTGTCAGTGCTAGGGAGAACAAGCGATGATGAAAACTAACCCAACAGTCAAAATCTGCAGCAGCAGTCATGCTCTGATTGGCCGAATAATTCCTAGCCACGCCTCTCCAACCGTCAGTTTGCTGTGAGTGAAATCGAGCAGCTCATGCTGGAAACACTAATTATTTACAATGATTATTAAATTAACATTGAACTGTGTGTTATTAACGTCGACACCTCCCACAGCACTAAACCCAACCAACAGTAGTGTGCGCATTGTCTGCATAGTGCTTCAGACTGTAGTGTGTAAGTGAAAGGCGGAGCTCAAAATAAACCCCGCCCCCTGCTCAATATTCAGTTAAGCTGGAACACGTCATCATGCTGGAATAAACAACACCACAGTTCCGGCTCACGCAGACGTCAACACCGGAAATCTGTTAGTAGAATGGCCATATCGGACGACTTTACACACAAAGCTTCTATCACAGTGTTAGAGTCGGCCTCTGAGTGTCTGTCGCTATAGTCTTCTGTACCTGCCCACAGGGGTGCCCACCTCACATGCAGGAGAGCGAACACTTGCTCATCACGCTGGACATGTTTTGAAGACTGAAATGTGTGAAGCTAAGTTAGTTTAGTGTTTTTGCTAGCAGGAAGTGGCTAGGCAACCGAGGCACACACATTGCAAGTCACTGGGAGAGAATGCTACACTAAAATGTCTCTGGTTTGAGTCCCGGCTGGGTCAGTTGGTGTTTCTGTGTGGAGTTTGCATGTTCTCCCCGTGTTGGTGTGGGTTTCCTCCAGGTGCTCCGGTTTCCCCCACAGTCCAAACACATGCGCTATAGGGGAACTGATCAACTGATAAACTGGCCGTAGTGTATGACTGTGTGTGTGTTTCCCAGTAGTGGGTTGCGGCTGAAAGGGCATCCGCTGTGTAAAACATATACTGGAATAGTTGGCGGTTCATTCCACTGTGGCGACCCCTGGTAAATAAATGGGCTAAGCCGAAGGAGAATGAATGAATTTTTATTCTGTAACACTGTCAGAAACACACACACACACACACACACACACACACACACACACACAGGAAGAGTCGGGGTACATCACTGGCGTGTGGGTTTATTTGAACTATTATATTAATTTATAAAATGTCAGCGTGAGTCTTCAGCAGCTGGTGTGTTACACCACACTGAGTGCTAATGCTGTGTTGTGTTATTAGGACGCAGCCTCAGGGATCCCTATGCCATGGATCTGAAGACAGCAGTCTTTCAACGCCGCCC